CTGGAAGGTCGGCGAGGGGGGAAACCAACACCGTTGAGTACTATTATGCATCAGGTTCTGCATCAAGATCAACCTGATGCATGACAGAAATCAAGAACAGTCAGTATCTTGCCAAATAAGTTAGCAAGAAAGTGGCCCAGAAACACGTAGGTATCATGTTGTTAACCCCTGCAACAGGGCCTCCCCTCTTATAAACTGTGTTGTTGTATTGTAAGCTTTCCATGTCACTCTCCTTCAGGTTCTGAATTCCTCCAGGGTGAGGACTGTGTCTTCATGTACACATTAGACATTCCACAGATGTCAGCTTATTTCTCTCTCTTCTCTTCCCCTACCCATCACTAAACATGGGCTTGATTATGCTGTCTAATGACGTGCCTTGCATTCTCCATAATTCAAGGATATATGAGTGTTATACCACTTGATTTAATTGAGGATATAATAACACACATGATATGAATAGTACAAAGCAATAAGTACTTTAAGTGCTCATTTGGGTGGTAGAGGAAAGGATATTAATGAGGGCAGTAAAAGACATGGTAGAAATAGACTTCATAAAAGATGTGGGATCTTGAGTCATGGAGGATGAGTAGGATTTGGACCACAGTGGTTAAGTTCCTATCTCATGGCAGGCCTAGTTCTGCAAATGGGGAGTGAGGAATCAGGGTAAATAAGTAACGGATAGACTAGAGAAGAGCCTTGGGACTGAACTTGGTGCCTTCCGGGAGAATTAAGAAACCAAAGCTCAGAGCTGTTACATAAAGAATACTCCATCCTGTCGAGAGGTTAAAGCAAGGGGAAAAACTGAACTCTTCTTCCCCCAGAGAATATTTTTTAGGAGAGGTGAATGAGAGATGGCTGCCAATTGCCAGCCAACAGTATCTTTGAGATTTACCCTCAGCAATGCTCCAGTCTCCTCAGGAAGAAAATCAGTTTTTAAAAGTGTGAGAAGGACACAGCTTTTCCTGGAGATCTTCCAGCTTTGAGTTAATTAATCTCACTTCTGCAGCTGTGAAATGTTAAGGTATCACACAGGTCCATAGGGGCGCGGAAAGAAAACACTTAGACTCAAAAGGGTAACACTCGTTTGGATGTGTACATAGTCAGCAGGCAGGGCTCAGTCTGTGCTCTAATGAAGAACTGCAAACTTTAGGTCGTAAGGAAAGTTAGGACCTGTGGCAACTCTTCTAATTATTTTCAGGAGAACTCAATGTTAAAAGTTAGAAGGTTGGTAAGAACAGCCAGTTCTATTCCAGATTCCTCATGGTGAAGAAAGTGGAACCCAGAGAGGTCCCGCCCTTCAACCTGGATCTCATAGTAAGTAGAGCTCAAATTGAAGTCTTGGGTCCAAGAACAGCGTTTCAAATACATCAAGGTTTAAAGGGCATGAAATGTCAGCATATCAGAAAATATCGCTGGGAGGATACACAGAGCATGGGTACTTGTGGTTGCTTCTAACAGGGGAAAATGAGTAGACAGAGAACAGGGGTGGGAGGGAGATTTAATATTCACTGAATATCCTTTTGTACCTTTTGAATTTTGTGCTGTGTATATGTTACCTAATCAGAAAATAAATAATTTATTTTTATGAGTTCAACTATTGCTTTGTTTCCCCTATTGTGTCATGTTTGTGTAACACATTTTTTGATTCAGGCTTTTGATTCTGCAGAAGCAAGGTTAAGCACTTTGGAAGAGGTGATGGCAGCTGGTTACTACTTTGTGGCTAGAACAAGAAGAGTCTCCTGAACCTCAAGCCAATGCTTTTCCAGAGTTCCAATTTCCTCCCAATTTTGATTGTGGTACAATCTGGCAGGATAAAACCCCAGAGAAACACAAATCAATTAGCAGTCAGTGATTTCATTCACTTTAGTGCAGCGTATGGTCATTAACAAACCGTGATGGAAAGGTCTCCATTAGCTAAAACTGTCCTTTCTGAGACAAGGGAAGATGCAAAGGTGGGAATCCAGTGTAACTCACTAGTGAGCTCCTTCAATGGCAGAGCCATGTGCTAGAAGAATCAGGCTGCTCCTTGACCCAATCAGATTGTTGCCCAGCAGAAGTATGAAAATGACCATCAAAAGGGCAGTGGAACAGTGGAAGAGCTAGCCATCTGCTGGAGTTTTCCCAAACATAGTATTACAAGAAAGGATAGTCTGTAACGTATTCCACGGTTTTTTAATGCAGGAATCGAATATGAACTAGTAAGAGGAAACTGGTTCAGACTTCCCAAGCCGGTTTTTCTTTTGGTGTTTCAATTTTAAACTTTAGTCGATATGGAAAATTAGAATGTGGTATGTTAGACTTAAAAAAATAATAATCCTGCTGCTTCCTGTGTAGTAGGGAAAATATTCCTTCACTGGGTACTGAGACCCGAAGGCATTTTGAAGGGTGCAGAGGTGAGATTTACTTTACTTTCCCCTTAGGTATCTATGTATACCCCACCTATTAATACTGTTTACATAAGTATTATTTTAGTGGCTGTTAAACTGCTAAAGTCTAGAATTATCCTTACTTGCTATTTAGCTTACAGTACATCTTCTAAATGATGTCTTTGAAACAATCTAATAATACTGTCATTCATTAAATGCTCACTATATGTGACGCGCTGTGGTAAGTGCTTTATATGAATTTTTCCACTCAATTCTCACATCAACCCCATGAGGTACTTACAGAGGAGCCTCACAGAAGTTAAGTAATTTGCGCTAGTTAACACGTGGGAGAGCAAAGATTCAAATCCAGGCTGTTATTCAACCAGTATTTAATGACTGCCTATGTGGCAGGCATGAAAGGTAGAGGAGAAACAGCAGGGCTAATCCCTGCCTTCTTGAAGCTTATAATCTTTAGAAGTCTTTCTGATTCCAAAGTCCATGGTTTTGACATTAACATTGTACTACTTCCCTAGGTCTGTGCAAAGGAGAGCCACGATTTCTAAGGCAATTACTCCTAAGAGAAATTTCTGTTCTCCAATCCTCCTTTCTCCATGCTTACTAAAGTCATATTTCTGTTCTGTGCTCAGAAGATAAATTCTGTGCCCTTAAGAAGTATAAAGAGCAGTCTAGGAGCACAGGCTGTGGCAACAGACCTGGGTTCTGGGCCCTGCTGGTTCATTTACTAGCTGCCTGACCTTGAGCGAGTAATCCCTATGAGCTTTAATTTCCCCGTCTGCAAAAATCGGTATACTACCATTACGTGTACCTGTAGGGTTAACTAAATAAGATAATGAGCCCACCACATACTACACGTTCAGTAGCAAAGGGTCGCAGTTGTTATTAATAGGATTAGGGAACACAAGGAAACCTTGGGTACAGGTGTTACGAAGGTTTGTTTGTCTAGGCGCTTCTAGTAGCCTTCTGTTTGTATAGTTGTGTACAGGTATTTCTCTTAAAGGTGCACGCAATCCGATTGATCCCAATATCTGGGGCTTACATACGCAATAAATACTAGTTGAATGAACGAGTGACTGAAGGCAAGGTCAGTCTCAGCGAACTAAGAGGTTCAGATGTGGGGGACATACATAAAACAGAAACTTGATACAATCCCTCTCTTAAGTCAATGCCCTCGGTTCCCGTAGCCCCCTTCGAGTTTCACTGAACTTAGAATGTAAATGCAAATGGGCATAAACGTAAATATAAATGGATATACGGACACTTCGGGCCTCACCGTGTAGTTGTGAGATCAGATAAAACGCTGGATGGGAGAGCTTTTGTAAACGAACCTCCTCTACAAACGTGAGTGTGGCTCTGTATCAAAGACAGCCCACGCCCACGCTGCAGTGGCAGGCGCCGAGCCCCCGCTCCGCCCCCTCTTCCTGGTTTTTCCCGGCAATCCGCCCCTCCGGCGTCATGTGACAGGGGTGCCCAGCCGGGACGAGCTCCTGATTGGCCGGGTTGCAGAACACCTCCCGATTGGCCGGAGGCCGGCGGGCCCCCGCCTCCCTCCTCCTCCTCGCCGCGGCCCACGTGAGGGGGGCGAGTCACGCGATTTCCGGGAACCCGTCAGGAAGGACATAAACAAAACAAACCGAGGCAGCATGGAGAGGGGCCGCGGCCCCTGCAGCGGAACCGGACCCAGCCCCTGAGCCGCCCCCACACCTACAGGTGAGCTCCGCTGCTGTCCGCCTGGAGCCCGCAGGGGCCTGGGCTGGGGGACTAGCCGGGCGGGGGGCGGAGGAGGGCCGCTGGCCTACGAGGCAGCAGCGCCGGGGCTCTGAGCCGGGCCGGCGCGGGGCGACCGGGACCAGGGCCGAGTCTGGGGGCGCGCGGGCCTCAGGTTGCCGCCTGCCGGTCACGGGGTCTCCGGCTCCCCTCCCCCACCCCCGGTCCGGGACGGTTATATAAAAGCGCGGGGTGGCTGTAGAGGGGACCCACGGGTGGGCGGCAGGCTAGGCCAGGGGTGGGCAACGCCAGGCGTCTGCCCTGCCGGGCTGCCCGGCCCTTCACTGCTGCCTCCGAGACCGGGGCCGTGGCTGCCGGCAACCGGCCTGTCAGAGAAGCTAGCGGGTGGGAGGGGCCGGGGAAGGGAGGGGAGGCGAGGCTGGCGGGGGAGGAGAGAGAGGGGCGTGTGAGGAAGGGCCGGGGCCACGAAGGTTGGAACCGGGCAGGCAGGAGACGAGGAAGCGCTGGCTGGGGGTGGGGGGGATCCAGGCAGGGGTGTCTCTGGGGTAGCCGCTCCCCCTTCCCGTCTCCGCCCCAGAGACGGGCGAAAGGGGCCTCCCTCCGGGATTTGTTTATATGTCTTCTCAAAGCAGCTTGAAGGGGCTCGTAGGCGGAGCCCTCAGCGCGGAGTGGCAGGCCGTGCCGCCCAATGGGATAGGCAGATGAAGGCTGCTGCGCCAATGGACGTGGGGGAGGCGGTGCCGCGGGGGCCCCCTCCCAATTGGTTAGGCTGTACCGGGGGTGGGCCGGGTGGGGCGGCCATGTTAGATGGGAGGGGACCGGTGGTGGTGGGTCACAGAGAGGGGAGGAGACAGGGCAAAGGGCGAGGGAGCCGGGCCGGGGGCGTTTCGGGTGTCCGAAGGCGAGTCCGATCGGACCAGGAAGTAGCTCAGGGGAGCCAGACCCCGACCCACCGCTCTCCCCTCCCGAGCAAAGGAGGCAGGGAAGTACCGAGGGCAGTCTAGCCGCCCCTGGGGGTGGTTCCTGGGACTAGATGGAGCTCAATCTCTGGATTCTCCCTCTTTCTCGGCCCTACCCTTCCTGACAAACACGGCCGCCAAACCCTGTAATTGCTTTCCTCTGACCCAAGAAAACAAACCTTTTTTGCTGTTTCTGAGCGGGCTTGAGCCTTAAGACTACCTTAAGAAGGTACTTGGATAGCTAGCGGTCTGAATTTCGGCACAAGGCCTCACATAGAGGGAGGCAGTGAGGAGGAAGTTCTGCTTTTCTGGATTTTGCACAGAAAACCAGGACTAGAAAAAGCCGAGAAAGTTAAGAGCTGGGTGGGGTTTCCATTTTTTCATCAGGGTACCTTCTAAAGATCGCCCCCGCACTTTCTAGCGCTAGTCCTAGTAGTAATTTGCCCCTCCTGTTTACATAAATTTGTAGCTCACGTGAATCAAGTTCATAAGAAAAGTGAGCCTTGAGAAAATTACAGATTTGAAGGTTCTTTAACTTTGTCTTGTGAATATCCTGCAGGTGAGGAATAGGAGCAAAATCTTATTTCTTTTTAAAAAGCAGAAAATAAGATTTTTATGTAAATTTGGTAATCTGTGGTAAACTGGTTGTCACTGATTGTACTTTTAAATATTTTTTTCCCATTTTCTTTTCATCCAAAATAGCTGGGAAAGCACCAGAGATGAAGGGGGAAATGGTATGAGTAATTAGAAAATCAGTTATTTTACTTTGTTTTCTGATTATTTTGGCATCCTGTCAGCCTTATTAAATGCTTGATTTAGCTTTATGTTAACATCACCTTACAACCTGTGACTGCACTGGTATTGTCAAGGGTACCAGGCTGTTTGTTGATGCACTTTGGTTAAGCATTTAGGGTATCATGCAGAGGCCATTCAGGAGTTGACTGTATTTATTTAGGAATTTGCATTATCTCCTATTTTGTTAACCGGAGAAAAATAATAATCGGTAAATAAATGATTTGTCGGTTTCTGTATTGTTTTGACATGCTTGACTCAGTTCTGTTAAGAATGATATGTAAAAATATAATCCCTCATTTTTTATAGACTTCAGTTCTTAAATATAACTTTTACAGCAAATAAAAGTATTAGTTTATTATTTATTGAATTTTCTTAAGAATGGCAGACAGGCACCTGGCTAGCTCAGTTGGTAGAGTATACAACTCTTGATCTCTGGTCCTGAGTTCTAGCACCTCACTGGACCTAGGGCTTACTTTAAAAAATAAAATAAGAATGGAAAATAGATCCAAGACTTACTTGGGTGTAATTCTTTTATATGACTTATATACTAGCTTTGGAATTTTTAGACTAGTAAGCATAGAAGAGGCTAAATACATCCAGAAGGAGAGATTTTGGATGTTCCACTTACCATCCCATTCTCTGTCATGACAATTGAAAACAGACTCTTAGACTATATCCTATTTGGTTTACTAGTTCACTCTGTGTGGATTCTTGGATGCCAGTGTAAGGACTGAAAGAATAACTTGTATAGTTCCATGGTGGTGGTTAACAATACAGTGACCGTGAAAGTACAGTGAGTTTGTATGTTTATTAATGTAGCATAGTTTTTAAAAAGAGTTAAACTACATCCACCAGTTGCTTTTAAAGTATAGTTTGTAGTCAGGATTGACAATTGTATGACTTGGAATTAATCAGCAGAGGTTTGTTTCCCTATGGGTTTTGTCTTGGATGTTTGCGAGAAAAATTCTCTTTCATTGTATTCAGTAGTTCATCTTCCAGGGTAGATAAACTCTTAGGCTAGACATAATTTGTCAGGTCATTAGTCTGATGATTTTAAGATAGAGGTTGACAGGACTTTTTCAATTCACGGTCAAATAGTAAATATTTAGCTTTGTGGGCCATTGTAGTCTCTGTCTCAGGTCTGCAAATTGCAGCATGAAAACAACCATAGATAACATGTTTGGGGCTGTATTCTAATAAAATTTATTTACAAGAACTGGCTGTGGTTGAAGGTTGTAGTTTATCAACCCCTGTCCTAAGACATCAGTCACTGGGTTTTAATTACTTAGATGTAAAGATATTGCAGAATATGTAAACATGCACTTCAGGTAGTAATTTGAGCACTTGCAGAATGTACATTATCTCTTGCCCTGAAGAATTTTTAGAATAAGAGCATAGGGCAGCATTGTATTCTATATTTTTATTTCATTTGCTAATAGATGTTTTCCTGGAAAAAAAAAACTTTATTTTTTTACTTTTTTAAAGTAGGCTCCACATCCAGTGTGGAGCCCAACATGGGGCTAGAACACATGACCCTGACATCAGGACCTGAGCGGAGATCAAGAGTCAGATGCTTAACCCACTGAGCCACCCAGGCGCCCCTGAAAAGATGTTTTAAAGCAAATGTTGGAATATTAAGTCCTATTTATTTTAGAGATGCATTCTGATTGAAAAGTTTTGGCTTTTTAAGATATTATACCTAAGAACCTTAATATAGTCAAGGGTATGGTCCTGTTGAGGTCTGAAAGTGCATCTAGTGTATCATTCCTAACAAAACTGTTTACAGCCGTTTGAAGAGATGTTAGTCAAATGAGTAAATACTTAACCCTCTGAGTTCTTACATATATCATGCAGTTAATTTGGGAGCCATACTGATGGTGCCATTGCCTGAGGTGTTTGTAGAATGACCTAAATAGGGTGGGATACTTTTTCAGACAAGATCCCAAAAGATACAGGTTGCTACCCCTCCCCTTCCTTGGAAAATGTGAAGTGATGCTAAGTGCCCACTGAAGTGGAGATGCTAAAACCCTACATAGGCAAATAGTTAATTTTTTCATGGGTAGCTTTTTGCTTTGTTTCTATGCAGTTATTTCTCCAGTTTGGTTGACTTGAACTGGGTTTTAAGTGCAAGAATGACAGTTGAGAAAGGAGAATATATTGACCTCTTAGAACGGAAAAGCATCAAGTGGCCTGTAATCTTGTTTCTAGTTCTAGTTAGCCTACTATTTGGCTGGGTGACTGTGGGTAATTAAGTTTATTAATTTGTAATGGGAGAGATTAATGATGTTTTCTGTCTCATAGTGGGATATTGGGAAGTTGTCAGTTACTGTATTCTCAAGCTCTTGTACTTTGAATATGCTAATACTTCCAGCTGCTTAGAACCACCTCTCAAATCTCTATTCAGTTTTCTTTTTCATAGGTTAATGACCTCTCAGTTTATCCTTATTCGCACTTGTACCACAGTACAGTATTTACCCATTTATGTCATCTACCTGGTGAGCAACTTGAGGTCAGAGTCTGCCTACTTTTATATCCCCAGTGCCTCACTCTGTGCCTGTCACCTTTTAGTGCTTCTGAACTTCCTAAATAAATGAGTGCATTGCTAAAAACTGCTTATCTGGAAGGTAATAAGTCAGTCTACTATTAGTAGAGATGTTGGGCTTAGTTGGAAGGGAGGAATTAATCACCATCTGCTGAAACAAAAAGCCTTCATTTAAAAATTGACCCGTTTGAGAAAGTTTATGGAAAAGCTATTTTGATGATGTCTAAAAATCCCTTTAATTCTTTTGTCAATTTTTTTCAGATACATTCCATTAGTTAGACTTGTTGAATATTCCTTCTAAGCATGCCCAGACAGACAGACACACACACACACACAACCTGTGCTTTTTCCTTTGGATTTGTCATTAACACTTAGCACACTTGGATCTCTGGGTGTTTGGCAAATGTGAGTGGAGCCTCATTTCTTAGAGGTTTGGGACAATTATTCATCTGTATAGCAGTGTTTCTCATCTTGGGGAAGTACTGTAAAGTCATTCTTGTTAATAAGTCTGGTTCACCCCAGGGGGGAGGGCTAGACATGGAGAGAGTTTGTTGCAGGGAGCTGCAGTGGGACTTGGTGACTGCACTACCATCCCACTGTATTGCTAGCCAAGCCTTGTGTGCTTTTTTACCAGTTCATGACCTTTCTAACAAAATCTGTATTGGAACTCTCCTCCCCAAACAACTTCTTAAATCACTCATCTTCCCACTAATTCCCGGCAACTCTGTTCATCTTGCTATTCTGTCCTTTTAACACCAAACCTACTTCTACATCTTTTGTTACAAAGTCATGTTTTACTTATTTATCTTTGGGTGTTGTTGACATTGACAGTTTCCCATGAAAGCATTATGAGCTTGCTAATTTTTTGTCCTCCAGTTTTCTTCAGATTCTTCTTGTACACATATTTTCTTTAGTTTATAGTGTTCTGCCTTTGAGAGTTTAAGGTGCTTTTATTTTTATTTTAGAGAGGAATTTCCATCTTTGACTGCTACACACTATTCCTGATGCAGTTTGCCTTCTCTTTTATATTTTTGCCATTCAACAGAAATTTAAAGCATTACAAAAAAAAAAAAAAAAACTTTAAGGAAAGGTCCTTGATGGTATGGGGAGAAACTAGGGGTAGGGTGCCTGTACTCTTGTTCAAAAGATTCACTCTAGAAATCCTTTAAACAGCAAGGCTTCTAGCTTTCTACTTGTGTTTTATAAGGTGTATAAAATTTCTTACTTGTAAAGGACTTTACAGTTTTGTGAAGTGCTTGTTAGTAAGGGTTTTCATCCTTACTATTGAATTCTCTACTAGAGTTGCCCATGGACTAATAGAGGAAACAAGACCTTGCAGTTTAACAGTAGGATAATTTTTAGAACAACATGTTCTGAAAATACGGAAGAGGGACTACTAGCTCTGCCTGAGAAAGTTGGAGGAAAGTTGGAGAAGCTTCACAGAAGAGGTCCATTTGAACTGGGTTTTGAAGACCAGTGAAGGAAGCATTCTGTGTCCAGTCAAGGAGGTATAAAAGGTATATGCGGGGCATCTGGCTGGCTCAGTCGGTGGAGCACGTGACTCTTGATCTCAGGGTCATGAGTTTGAGCCCCACATTGGGCATGGAGCCTACTTAAAAAAGAAAATAAAAGATGTATGTGATGTGTGGGGTGGGCTTGGATATGAGAAGGCGTCACCTAAGACAGGGCCACCAAGAGGGCATAGATGGAGGAGGAGGAAGAGACTAGTTGCGGTGAGATTTAGGAGGAAAGGGCTTTTTTGTTTTCCTCTTGTCCCCTCCTTCTCTTGGGCCTGCTCTACGCTGTCAGGTCTCTGGTCCCTTCACTTTGTGGCTTTGACTTTGATTAGATGATCTCTTTTCCCATAGTTTTTGGTTTTTCTTTCAGTCTTT